TTTTTTTGCCCCTGTCCCACGCCATGAAAACTGCTGCGCTAACGTGTCTTCAAACAATGACCGCCACGAGCTTCTTATAAATTTATCGTACGACTTCTCTCCATTGGTGCAAATTTCATGAACCTGAATACAAATATAGGTATATTAAAACAAATATATATTAATGCAATCATTGGAAATTCAAAATTAAATAGTGTCTGCTTGTAGTAAATTGTATTGAGAAATGAAACATTCAGCCCTATCGCCAATTCCATTTGAATAAATCGTTCCCATAATTTGACATGCAAAAAACAAAAACAAATTGGGAAAAATAGTTTTTGTTTTACTTTATAATTTTTGGGAATATTTGTTCATGTGAAATTCGCGATAGGGCCGATTCTTTTAGGAAAATATATAAAAACTACACTTACAAATTTTTTAAATACTTCTTCGTTCTTAAGTTTTTCTTCAAGGTTATTAATTTCTTCTAAAGTTGAGAAAGGAGAGCGAGGAACTATTTCACGCTCAATGGATATTTCTCCGTAAACTTTAGCTTTTATGGAAGTAACCTCGTTCCTTACAGAAATCATTTCCATATTGAGGCGATCGACTTTTGTTGTTAATTCACTAACTTTTCCATAGACGTCATGCAAAAGTTTAAGAATCTCTAATAAAGATTATTTTGTAATTTTTGAAATTGTTATAAAGTATTCAATAAATACCTGTTAATTGTATTTCATTGTTGTTGTTATATAAGTTGCTGTTATGTGCAGGTCTTTGTGTGTAAATTGTTCCATCGTCCATATTGAAAAGGTCGGTATATTGATGTGCCATTTTAACCTAATAATGTATAAATGGCATATAAATATGTATTTGGTCAATAATATGACAAACTTTCCCAGATATTTTATCTACTGGGTGTTTAATTATTTCAGAGTCTATTTCGAAACTTTTAGAAGAAAAAATACCCACCAAGGTCGAGTCTATAGGATAACTAAAAAAAGGATCTAAGTCAGTAACTAAATTACTAAATAAAGTATTATTGACTATTTCAAAAATTTTGTATATTTTGTAAACGGAATGGTCTATAACAAAATAAAATGAATTAGTACCTTTCAAGTCAAAGTAAAAGTCCTTATAGACAATATTTTTTCGGGAAACGTCTGAATTTAGTTTACATTCTTTGTGCACAACATCAAATAAACTTCGCTCAACTATGCGGTTATAAAGCTGCTCCAATACGTTATCACTTTTTTTTACCATATTTTTGAGTTGTCCTAAGAAATTTTCAAAAGGAAAAGCACTTATGGTTTCAAGAGAGCCAAAAATCCTTGATTGGCTACTGAGATGGGTTAAACAATGAAAATTATATGTTAACATCGTCCCAGAGTATAATGAGGAAACGTCCTTCACAAATTTGTTTAATAAACTATTTGCAAGTGCATTTTTGGTTTTGCAATATTCATTGTGAAGAAGAATTCTTGAACGAACTCTCTTAAAAAAATATTGGGATCCTGCGGTTTAGAGCAGCCGGCATAAATCCCCGCAACCAAAACGGGCTTAGTATCAAGCACATTTATTAGAATGGGCCAAACTTGCTTACGAAACTTTTAAATAAAGGGAGACCATCTATATTAATGTTAAGTGAAATGTCTGAACGGTCAAATTGAAAATTGCGCAAAAAGTCCGTAAGTGCGTCTTTCACTCCATAGTGAACGTACTCTCCTGGTTGTACGAGTCTTTTAACAATCGTCCGTGGTGTACATTTCAGCGTGCGCACATCACGTGGCAAATCAGAAATTTTCTCTGACAGTAGTGCAAGCAAATCGTTCGCACCCTGTCGGCTAACATTATTCGTTAAAAACCACCGTGCCAGACGAGCAGTAAAGTTGGGAGAGTCTATTGGTACGTCATATGCAGAGGTGGGCACTACCACAATCAAGCGTGAGCTAAAAGTGAGAATGTGTTAGTGTGCCTAATTCATTTTGCATGCTGTCGTGTTCTCATCGCTGCGCTCTCGCTTGTATACGTACACGCGACGCTTACGCTCTTTTAGCACCTGCTAACTCTCTGCCCATGCCTGGTCATATGTATGATCTGCTTCATTACAAGCACTATTTGAATTAATATCTGCTGCTTTAGGAGTCGTGCTTGTTGCAGTCCCATTAATATGTTGAACAGAAGTTCTTTTAAAGTGCCGAATTTCGGCAATGTATTGGCGACGTTTTCTTTTAGGCGGCATTTTCTAAGAAAATAAAACTTGAGTAGCTTTAATAAATAGATACTTTATAACTACATGGATGCGATAAATAATAAGTTCTTTACATCGCGAACACTCAATGATATTACGCTTCGCAGGCGATAATACCACCCTTTGTCACTCATACGCCATGGCATGCGAGTAACAATTAAGGGCAACCCAAAATCACTCGCATGAGTGACCAAGGCATTATAAAAAAAAATAGTCAGTTACTTAGTTAAATATATTTATTTATTTATACTTACTGTGATGTTTTATATGGTTCCTTAAAAAGTTTGATCCAACTGTGTGAGTTGTGCTATTTGTATGATAAGGATAGTCAGTTTATTAGTTTAAGTTATTTATCATGCAAAGGAGTTTCAATACTTACTCTGATTTATTTTGTGATTCCTTACAATTTTCAATTATTGTATTACGTGAACGCACATGAAACAAAACGTTTTACTTTGTAATGATAGAAAATTTCTAACAAAATGTTAACTAAAGCAGTGCCTCCTTCTATTTACTTTTTCGAATATTTTGTCCGAGAAAAGTTAGAGAAAAATTATTAAACGAATACATTCTCGATACATTCAACGGACAGAAAAGCAAAAATACAAACTTCCGTTTGAAATACGAGACTCTTAGGTGAGCCGGAGCGTGCGGGTAAGAGAAACTATCGTAAAACTCGTAACATCCGCTAACATACGTTTCTTGGTCGGGTGGGTATAATTTATCGGCACTTACGAATTTTGATTTCGAATCACCTAATAATGGTTTTCTGCCTCCTTTCCCTGTCTGTACCTATGGAAGTTTATGTGGACTTGATTGTATTTGTAATACTCATATACAAAAATGTTTAGCGTTTCGGACTATTTTAAGTAAATGCGATTTTGCTATATAGTTCCGTATCGTTTTGTATTCGCACTTAGCTGTAATTAAGTATATTGTTAGTATTAAGTTTACATTTTTTCAAATGAAACACAAAAGTGAATTATATATGTAAGTATGTTTTTAAGACTTTGTGGCACGCGCTAATTTGGAGGGCGATCGGTTTTTTGTACTTCAAGCATTTTTGGCTTTTCGAGCGTAGGACATTGAAACGTTAAATACGCAAATTGATCAAAATATTGATATCGAGAAATATGTATTTCGACCATTAGGTGGATATTGATGAATATGCACATACATATGTATGTACATATATCGATATAAATACGCAAATAGATTCTAATGTTGGATATCGATAAATTTGTACGTGGATCATAATATTGATATCGATAAATATATATATGTCAATCGTAATACTGATAGCGATAAATACCTGTATCATTCATAATACCGATAAAGATATCGTAAAAATATCGATATTAATGGTTATCGATTAATATTTCGACTATAGTTCGATAAATTTATAATAAAATCGATAACGATATCGATGAAAAATAAGATAAATTCATATCGATGGCTATAATCAGTTATCCATAATCATGTTTATGTATGTCTGTATTAGGACTGTGCGATTAATTGATTACTCAAAATTTTAATTAATCATAAAGTAAATAACTCAATTATTCGATTAATTGGAAATTATGATTACTCAAAAGTTCAGTTACTCGAGTAATCAAGATTTTTGATTAACCAAAAACAAAAATATTTGAGTAATTTGCTTTATGATTAATCAACATTTCGAGTAAAATGAGTAATCAACATTTCAACTCTTTACATATGTATAAAGTAGTTAAAGTTCCTTGACAACGTTTCTGTTTTCAAAAATTAAAGCAAACAATTTTTTTCATATACAGAATGTAAAAAAGAGAATAAGCATTTTCCAAAGCAAACTCTTTTAACGAGCAAAATTATTTTTTTTGAGTAATCATATTTCAAGTAACTCGATTAATTATCGTTTTGAGTAATCAAAATCTTGATTACTCGAGTAATTGATTAACCGAATAATTGATTAACCAACTTGCTCGAGTAATCGAATAATCGCACAGCCCTAGTCTGTATATATCGACAGCGATATCAACAAATATGTAACATTTCAAAATGCTTTAGTTATTGTAAATTTTTTAATATTAATAATTACATTAGAAGTGACGCATTCTTTTCACTATTGTATTCTTGATTGCCCTCTAAATAGCTGCCATTCATCTACACCTTTGCACAAAACCAAAAATTTTTTTCAAAAAAATCATTTTCAAAATATTACATTCTTTTGAGTTTGACTGCACATGTCTTATCACAACGCTTTTATTTGTATGCATATTTGAAGTCCATTAAAAGCAATTTATACACATCACTTTAAAGTACCATAATATTTACATATTATGTATTAATAAACAATAGCATTTTATGTAGCAATACTCATTGAATGGTTTATACTTTTATACGAACGCAAAATTAAGGAGTTTGTAAAATGTAAAGGTGCAAATATGCAGTTTCATATTCTTATGCAATTTATAAATCACTTAAAAATAAATGTTTGTAAAATAAGTAATTTTCTATATTCTTTGCAAATAATTAGGGTGATTAGTTGGTAAAAGTAATTTAGGAAATTTCGTTATTTACATACATACATATATACATACATACATATATTTCCGTTAAGTGTGTACTATAAAAAGTTAAATGAAAACAGCTTCAACATTACTTGTTCATGAAAACCATTTACAC